TAGAGTTAATTTCCAGCCCTTTTAATACAGTTTTGTCTGTGTGGAGCTCTGTAGCATTAGACCTAAACAAAAGCTAACCTCAGATGGGTCGACAGTAAGAGGCTTGTTCTCTCACAGAATTTCTTCTTCTCCCTTTCTGTTTTTCAGCCACTCTTCCCTTCATCTCCTCTCTGTTCAGTTTATTCTTCTTATTGGTTTCATGTTCTCCTTCTTTGATTTTCCTCTTTCCCTTTTTCATCAGTATTTAACACAGACACACAGGTGACAGGACTGCAGCATAAAGAAGGACTTTCGTTCGTGTTCATCTCTCTGCTGTCGCTGATCCAGCGGCTGATCCGAGTCCAGCCGGTGACAAACGTCTGCCTGCTGTGAAGGACTCTGCTGAATCAGGAAGAAGCGGGTGGCGTGTTGGGACATTCGCGATGGACGCATCAATCTTCTAAATGAATCAAAGCTAATACAACATCTGCTGTTTGGCAGCCGCTTACAAAGCACCGCTCGCTGGGAACGGGCCCCGCTTTGGTTTAACACTGGAAAGTGATGGAGAGTGAGCCTCTGCAAAATATGATCCAGTACCGAGCGATACCGGGGTCAGAATTACCAATATCAAGAGCCTTTCTTCTATTGTGTCACAGTGAATTATGTTTATTATGTATGGAAGGCTTTCATGTCCATGTGCTATATGGTTAGTGCTCAATTGTGTGGCAGTACAGTCTCATGTCCAGTGCTTCTGGCATGCAGGCTGTCTTTACTGGGTAGTATTTAAGCTGTAAAACCTATTTCCTTCCTGTGGGGAATCATAATGTGTGGGCCATTCGTGCATTGCACTGTTTCATTCGGTAACCAACAGTGTAAAAGTCAAACTGTTTCTGTTGATCTTAAATGCTAACCATTGTGCTTTTTGAACTCTACTAGAGTGGCTTTGCATAAGTCATAGTTCATAATAATCCTTGTTTACCGTACACTAGACCTTGGTACAGCCTCTCAGTTCACTCTGAAGGGGAGGGGGAGGTAAAAATGGTGCCTGAAACACACTCCTTTAAGCCCGCTTCACTCTTATTGGCTCTCCTTTAAATAGTAAGTTTTAAGAGCTGGTGAGTGTGGCTTCTGTATTGCTTTCACAGCCTGAAATGACCATATTAGACATATTAAAGGTTATCAAATGGCAGTCGATGTGGGTGAAGAATAAAGCCAGTGTGGAAGTAACTGTAGTCTCACAGACTTCCATGTCAAAATGTCCAAGAGTACAGCAGACATAAACATGTTTACAGCCTGCTATGAAGAACGGTTTGGCCTCTGTGGCTAATTTCAGCCAGTTTTTCATAACAGACCTGTTTGGATTCAATTCAGGCTCAAGGTTAAGGGCTTGTCTGTGCAGTTAATTGTACTAGCAGATGGTACAAAAAGCCTGTGCTTCAGTTTCAGTGAGTTAAATTCAAGGATTTTAGCAGTCTGTTACGTAGCACTAATGCAGGTATTGGCAACTTCACACTTTGGACACAGAGCTTTGGTAGTAGCAAGTCAAAGTTGTGGCAGCCAAAATGCTGACCCCTTGGCTATGTCCATCCTGGCCATGTTTAACAAGAGCATCCACCACTGTAACGGCACACATGACAGAAAACATAGTCTTGGAAAGAGTCTCTTGGCAAAATCCAGTCCAATTTATGAAGTAGCATTTATTTGTAATCTTATTTATCAATTAACAAACTGATAAATAGACACAAAAGTAGATACTTTTTTTTGTAAGCATGGGGCTTGCATTGTTATAATCTACAGTTTGTCTAATTGCTCTGAATCATTCAAGATGTTTGTCACTTGTAAACACTGCATGTTACACGATGGAGTCTCACTAATGAATTCTCTGCAGGTGTTCCACAGAGAGGGTTTTCCAGCTGGCTGGCCTGATTCTTTCTGAGCCTCTTCCCACTGTAACCTCATATTACCTCCCAAAGCCAAATACAGACATAAAGGTTTAACTGAAAAGCTTGACGAAATTAAATTAGTTATCGATGCATTTTGAGTCATTTTACCAACATGTGCAAACCATCCCCCGACAGCTCATGTGTCTCTTTTGTGGCATGCTGGCTTTGCTGAACTGTGTCTAAGACAAATCTGTGCGTTCCAGGAGGAAACCGGCTGAGTCAGGAGGGAAACAAGGTGTTTGCTTTTCACCTGGGTTAGTCCGTACAGGATCATAAATCTCGTTGTGAAAGTATTGGGGCATGTGGGTGGCGGGATGGGCTTGTGGTTAGTGGAACCATTATGTGACTGCAGGGATGCATCTCCACTCCCTGCAAGTCAGAGGCTTTGTACTTTAGACCAAGCTCGTGACCAAAAAGGCAGCAATAGATGAACATGTCCAGATTCTACCATCATTTTGGGAAATACGTGAACTAAACCAGATGGGAGTGCACTTAATTGAATGTATAAGTACTACCACAACAAAGAAAAATAGCTAAACACGTCTCTAATCAAATTAAGTTGCATTCATATCTGCATAATACAAAAGATGCTTTCACTGGAACTTGAAACCACAAAAAAGATCCATGCAGATTCAATTTAAAGTGAACTGTGCATCGTGGTTTTCATGTGGATGCAGCCACCCAAACTTTACAACAACAGCTAAACGACTCATGGAACATGACATTAATCATAGCCAACGAGCTGCCCCCCATACTTTCAAAACCCCAATCTAATCAAGAATCCATGAGACTTTCTGGAACTGGTCGTGCCGTGGAGGCCGTTCAGTTACGTAAGCCCTGAAGCACGTTGCTCGATGGTTGCCACTGTTGCTTCTCAGCGGTTGGATCCTGGGACTTATTGTGAAAAGTTCGCACCTTCTATGTGTGCTTGCATGGGTTTCCTTGGGGAGCTCTGGTCTCTCCTCCCATCAAAAACTTGCCTCATTCACCTGTGACGGTGCTCTTGACTACAGTACTGGCTTACAGCTGCAGCTGGTCCCCAGGCTTTGCAGTTCTGAAATCTCAGGATGGATTAAATGCAGGGAATGAGTTTCCCTATTGGGATCAATAAAACAGATCTTATCTCAGAGGATCCAATTCTAATGCTGAAGTGCCCCACAGGACATCCCCACAGATCCTATGTGTACAGGCCGATGGCAGTACAATCTGTGGAATGCATTTTAAATGCTGCATCAATAGTGTCACTCTCATAATCTGACTCAGTAAACTTTTAGTGTACAGCAAAACAAAAGAACTGGACTATATAGCTGTATCACAAAAAGCAAAAAGCTTGGAGGCTTTTCCCCATCAAAGCTTAAATTATCTCAGCTTTTACTTTAAAAAATATGTATTCAATTCCTATAACTACCCCAGGACATTTATTTTGAAAGTCAGGCACTGCACGTCTTTGTGCGTTGCTTTGCAGCGTTGTTTCAGAGAGCAGCAAAGGCAAGGATGATGTTTGACCTCAGGTTATTTGACTGATGACCATCTGTCCCGCTGTAGCTCCTATAAATCACAGCTACTCTCTTCTTTTGCTCTGATAATGACCTGCTCCGCCTTATCTTTCTTATCTTGGTACAACGTTGTGTAAAGTGTATGTGAAGAAAATGAAATCTGGCAATATGCAAATGAACAGCTGTGTGTCATCTGCATACAGACAGAAATAAATGTGCCTGAAGTTCTGCAGCTACCGTTAGAACATAATACATCATATTTCACCTCCGCTCTCCATGAACTTGCCCTTCATTGGCTGATGTTAGCCCAATAAAACTCCAGTGTTCCCCCAGTCTGTCTTGCTCCCCTGTGCCTCTGCATCATTGCCACACTAGCCTGCGCCGAACGGGGTCTAAGACAAATCTCTGCGCTCCAGGAGGAAACCGGCTGAGTCAGGAAGGAAACAAGGTGTTTGCTTTTCACCTGGGTTAGTCAGAACAGGATCATAAATCTCTTGCTGAAAGTTTTGGGGCAAGTGGGAGGTGTGGACGGGCTCTCATGGCAAGTGAAACCACGAGAGTCTGAAAGGATACAGCTCCACAGCTTCAACAGATCCTGAGATACAGAAATGTAATGATTGTACTGGTGAAGACCAGTATGGTGGTAGATTTACAATTTGCTATGAAAGCTGGATTAAAACATGGAAAAAGAAGGAACTGAAGAAATCCGCTTAATGAAGTGAAACGGTAAAGTACACTGTTTTGGAAACTAAGAAGATGGAAAACAATCTTGTGAATGTGCATCATGGTGGAGCTGCAGTAAGGATGTGGTTTTGGGAATGTTGTAACAAGTTACAAATTACTCTGTTAAAAATGTAAAAAAGGATGTAGCTTTCGAACTATTCCATTAAAATAAAGATACATTTGATTGCTTTATTTGGTTAACTATTGATTAACTGTTGATTTCTCAGGTTTGACATTGAGCTTTAACACTACTGGTACTTGTATCGATACCACCACATTCACAGCACAATATAGGCATTCTGTCCAAAGACATGGTCTCGGTGTGGTTATCGCACACACAGGTTGCTTACTGGAATGTGCGGTGATTTGATGAGATGGAGCTAAACAGGAGAACCCCTCAAAAGCAACAGAGGGATAAAAAACACTCCCACTCTTCTAGATGCTGAACTCTGTTTCTGATCTGTGTTTTCCAGGAACATAATGACTGGGGTTAACAGTGACCGGGATGGCGTCATCACCTATGAAGATTTAGACCCCAGAAGGTTAATTAAATACAAGAATTCTTTCAGCAGATTTAGTTGTTTTTGACATCGGAGTTGTTTAAGTTTAAAGATAATGAATAAAGGCTGACAAGGACAAAAAAAATCTGTGGATGGGGAGATTAAGGAAGTTATTCTTTGCAGTATTACTTTTCCATCTGTCCATCAGCTTGATGAAACAGGGAGGCATCCATGGACATGCTGCCAGTCCATTTCAGGGACACAACACATGCTCAAATGCACAGCAGCAGCCAATCAAAATCATCCTTTAAATTAAGGCGCTTGTCTTTAATTGTGTGTGTGTCTGTGTGTGTGCTTACTATCTGGGAAACAGTTGTCAGGGTCCATCGCCTCTTCAGCCATCTCTGAGTACTCATCCTCTTCTTCTCCAGGCTTCCTCAGGTCCACCGTGCTGCCCTCTGATAGGCTGATGTCGTCTTTCGGCTGAATAAAACAAAAACAAACAACCAGTCATGGACTCGTCACCTTCACCACATCGACCTGCGACTGGTTAATGTCACCTACTCACGATTAAAATGAATAAACAAAGAATGAATAAATAAATAAAGAAGAATAGAAAACGCCTGCACAGATTAGGTGAGGGTGGGTTGGAAAGCAGCTTGCAGATACAACAACTACTGTAAGAAGGTTAAAGACAATTATGTAACCTGCCCTATACTGGAGCTACCACTTGAATGCATGCAGAAGGGTACCAGCTAACAGGATTGAGCTTAACTCTGCGTCTTGCCTGAACTAATGTTATCTAATGCTAACAGTCAGTTTAATTCTGAGTGAAAGTATTCATTGGTGCCAATCATAACACTAATGTGAGCAATCAATACATGTCAGCTGTTTTTAAATTATTCTTCTATTTTGTATTTATGAAAACAAAAATCATTCTGACTCAGAGTGTTTAAGCCAAACCACTAAAGGCTAATCAGTCTGAACATGCTGCCAACTGATAGGTCAAAAAGTGAGGTTTTTCAGTTACTATTTAATATTTTCTCATTAACAGTATAAAAATGGCTGTAGTGGTTAGAACAGACCTGTTATGAAGAGTCAAGCTGAGTGTTTTCACTTTGACAACTGAGGTTAGGAACAGATTTTGAAACCACACACACTCCTGGTTACTCTTCCTTCTGACTCTTAGATTGACTTTAATTAACAAAACTGAGTTAATGTTGTATTAATTATGACTCAAAACTAGTGACTGAACTCATCAATCCACTAGGAGTTCCCCTACTGAAGGAACGGGAAAAGAAAGATGAGTATTCTACAGGTCGCCCCCTGTTGGCCATTAAAGAAGGTTAACGGTACTTCCACGCTGGCTCAGTGTTGTCATGCTTGTGAACTGAGGCATGCACCAAAATCAATCGCTTTTCTAATCATATTCCAGCCCTGAAGCTGGATCAGATCTATCATTAACTATAAATACTTACAGGGGTGTGCTGATGTCACAGTTAATGCTAACAGTGACCAACGCAACAACCATAACCACAACATAACACAACAAATACACTGTAACAGATTTAACCTCATAAAAAAGAAAAACTCTAGTGTGTAAATGATTTACGCAAGTCACCAAACTTTTAATCAAAGTCCTTGAAACCAGTGCTGACTATCAGCAGCCTCTTATTCTCATTCTCTGTTGTTATGTCCACCTATCCATCCACCCAAAGCTCCTCCCTGACTTTAAGGCTTTTAAATAACTCCACTTTAGCTCCAACTGGTGTTGTCATTTCTCTGTAATAAAGGAACACATTTCAGAGTGTGTTTTTAATAGTCCCTGGGCAACAATGGAGCTCTAACACACACACACACACACACACACACACACACACACACACACACACACACACACACACACACACTTCACATTTTCATTTGTTGACAATAAGAAATCACATCTCCAGTAAAGTAAGGCTTCCTGCTCGCATCTGAATTTGTTTTACTATGAGCGCTGTTCAATCTGTTTGTATGTATTTGTGCATTTTTTGTTTGTGCGATTGTCACTTTGCTGCAGTCGAGGCTGAATGAGTCAGATTTAATGTTATGTAACTGACAGGAATCCTGGCTGAGAAAACAGAGAGACGCCACCTTCCAAACCTTCCCTCCCACCGCTAGGAAAACTGCCGTCTGTTCTATCTGGGCAAAACTAGACGTTAGGAAATCCCCCCCCCCCACCTCTCACGTCCCCCCTCATCCCAGCGGACTTCAAAGGTCCCTGTTTGCTAAGCATCATGGGAGTTTAACTCTACAAAGGGACGAGAGAGATGAAGGGATAGGAAACAGGTTTTCTGCTGAGGCCCGAGGAAGGAAATTTGGCAAGTTTTGTTGACTGTCAGGACAAAAGACACAGCAGGGGTGTGAGTGTGTGTGTGTGTGTGAGTGTGTGTGAATGTGTGGACAGGTGAGCTAACTACCTGTGTCAACAGCTAACTCATGAATACATTCAGAGTCTGGGAACAGAAAGCAGCCACTGTGACGAATGCCAGCCTTGGACACACACACACGCATGCAAAGGTGAAACCAAACAGACGTGAATACACGGCTAATCTCTGACAGACACACACACACACACACACACACACACACACACACACACACACACACACACACACACATACACGTGAAGAGACGCACACATAAAGTGGATAATATAATATAACACACACGCAGCAGCCTTGGGCCAAAACCTCCTGACGGTTGACGTCTATAATGAGCGGTTTAAATGTATTTCTAGTCATAAGCTGTTTCTATTGTGGAGCCAGAGAGGAGCAGCAGGCAGCACATTCACGAACATTAGAGTCACGTGTAATCGGATTACTGTAATGAAAGTAAGAGAACAAGTACATAAAAAACAAAAATTACAATTAATGAAAAGCGTCTGTGCTTTGAGTGCATCAGCAGGTTTATTTAACACGTCTTCACTCAGTAGAAAAAGCTTTCTGTAATTCATCACTGACATCTGCTGATTTGAAAGATTCTGATGATGTTCTTTTAAGGAAGACAAGTGAACAAAGACCATCGATAGCAGCTTTGTCTTTTGTTTTTGTCCACTTTATTAATTTGATGACAACAAAAAGTGAAGCTGATGTGGAAATAACTTAAAGCTGCATTCTCCTAGTGGCCAACAGGGGGCGACTCCTCTGGCTGCAGAAAGGCTTCCTGTGATGGTTCTCTTCTTATTTGTCCTTCTGTATTTTGTTGTAGTCTGCTCTCTGTGTTCTGGATTATTTCGTGTTTCTGTATGAGCTCTTCATATTTGTTAGCGTTATGTTCTGATTTTGAGCTTTTAGCTTTCCTGACAGCGTTGGAGTTTTTCTTTTTTTTAAATCCTGTAGTCCTGGGATACTCAATTAAATTTAAGGAGGCCCAGTTAGAGAAATGTCCCCAAACAAAGGTCCACAATATCATAAAGTTTGCCATGCACTACAATTCAGTGCAAAATATTTTGAAGTATTTTATCCAATCAACAACTGGCTGTCGAGTAAAAGAAAGAAAGCATTTCAAGAATGTTTATTATGAATTTTCATAATGACGTGGAGCGTACTCTAATAATAATTAAATATTAATAAAAAGTTATTTTCTTTTCAGTTAAATATTGTTTGCAAACAAAAGGAAAAAAGCTTTTGAAAGTGTCTTTGAACAAAGTGCGTGATTTAAAATAATGTTTGAGTTTCCTCTAAGCTGCATTTGTGCGACTGGCTTCTTCAGACTTCTGTGTCCGGTCTCCTCGCCGAGCTTCCTGTGTTCACAGCCATTCTGAATCAGTCATTTAACTGTTTCAGGTCTGTGATAATAGTTCTCCAACTTATGCTCTTTATTAGAATCAGAATTAGGATAACCCAGGGTTTGCTCATCACCTGCTGACTCGGTCCGGCACTGCTGGTGGTTTCTAGATACCAAGGTGGTGACAGAGAAAACACTCGGGTGTTCAACTTACAGTTTATGGGCCAATATTAAATATTTTGCAGCTCAAAATAAGCAAACGGCTGAATTCTTATCTTAAACTCAACAAGATGGCAGCCCAAACACTAAAGCTTAAAAAGGCAGAAATCTGAAACCGATGGTGACGTCACAGAGGCGTAATCCATCTTTTATATACAGTCTATGCGTCTGAAACCCTCTGAATAGACAATAAATTGAAAATCCACAACAATGGAGTGTTTAGTTGTTTGTTCAGCAGGTAGCTGCCAGAGTGAAAGACATTTCATTCATTCATCAGCAAAGCCAAGCGTGTCGCATTGTTCGTCTTCACTAGGCAGGAGGAATGGCATGTCCACTACTAACGAGGACCAACACAACATTTTTTGTTCCCTGCAGTCTGCCCTTTTGTTTGTTTCAATCCAACAAATGCAGACATAAGATATATTTTATATTTACACAAGGCTGAGAGAGAGACGGAGAGAGGGAAACAAGCGAGAAGGCAGCAGAGATGGATGCAGGCAGAAGTGCAGACTCTTACATTTAGTCAGATGAGCAGCTCCAAGTAGAGAAACATCTTCTGCAGCACAAAATAATGACATCACACATGCAGAAAACAGCTGAGCGAGCAGGTCAGGAAACACACCTGGCCGGTCGGGGTGAACGTGGACAGACGGCAGGAAGGTTTATGCTTCACAGAGAAGGCAGACCATGTTACAGTTCAATGTAGTGAATTTAATCAATTCACTTCAGTTTTATTTGTACAACACCAGACCACAGCAACAGCTGCCTCAAGGTGCTTTATATTGTGAGGTAAAGACAACTGAAAATACAGACAAGCCTTGGCGAAGGTGAGAAGGAAAAACCCTTTTTTACAGAGAAAGCTTTGAAGAATCACTGCATGTTTCGTGCTGCTCATGCAGCTGCTATAGAAGCTTCTGGAGCTTTATTAAAATGACATTTCCACCAGTCACTGACAGCAAACTACAACATAATTCCCCTTCTTTAGATGCATGGCAGTCCCGGGACCCAAACGAAGCTAACTCCAGTGTTATATACACTGATTTAATGTGGGGATCATGTCACATGATGGCCTGGGTTCCTGTGTCTTTACATCAACAGCAGAAGTTTGAAAACGTAGGAGTTAAAACTGATCTTTGCTTCTTTAGATGAAACCGTATGTCCGGTGCTGGTCCTGTGGGTGAGGATGCCTTTCTGTGTTTCTCTGAAGTAACTCTGCAGAGCTGCAGCTCGAGAGCTCATCGACATCCAATCCGGGAGGTTTTGATGTCGGCCATTTCATAACAGACAGGAGAAATCAAAGCCAGGCCGCCGCGTCCATTTCCCACCACCTGTCTCTGCAGACAGCACCTGGACATCTGCTGGCGGGGATCCTGAACTATACCGGGGTCAGAGGTCACCAGCTTGAGACCGTGATAGCAGTCGGGGTCACAGTGAGTTTTACTAGCTGACATTTAAGGGCGCGCACACACACTCAAACAGCTGTGAGGACAGGG